TATATATATATATATATATATATATATATATAAATACACACAAATACAACAACAAAGAGTCTATACTCAAAACCCCTTATATCACCCCCAAGATTATATGCTTTTCAAAACACAGGTCTGACTACTACAGAGAATTAATCACCTTTCACGGTCTTCTGTGGTTTCTGGTTCATAGGTGAAATCATCCATGCTTTGATTGGCGTTGCTGCGCGCTCCGGTGTTTCCAGATGGGCGCAAACAAGATCAGCATGCTCTGAAGACTTCACTTGAACAGCTGTTTCATCGCATCAACAAGGGAAGAAAACAGAAGACACTTAAGTACTTAATGTGCGCTAAACCTAAGCTATTAACGACCTAGATGTCACCTTTACTACGTCGTTTCGGTTTAGGGGTTGGGAACGAGGCTTGAACCGAGGTGCTCTTTTTTGGGGTTTGAGCGGAACACTGGCAGCCCACATCCCGCGTCCGAGGCTGTCGGACAGACGCGAGAAAGGCCCGATCAGTAAAGGCTAAAACACGTGTGGTATGCATTACTAACATAAGCACGCCATCTAGATACACTCACCTTCATACTCTGTGATGCGCCAACCGTGTACACCGACGGAACAGCGGTGTTCTTCAGATACAAGACCCTGGCAAACCCCATTTGGTGCTGGGTTAAATTCTGGAAACACTCGGGCGTGAAATGCCTCGAGCACAGCCGCGAGTTTACCGTTAACCCTTCCTCTTCAAAGTGCAAAAACTCAAGCCAGCGGGACCGTAGCCAAGGTGGTCGTGGGATACTGAAAAGGGTTTTGTTGGGCAAACAGCCGAAAACACACCTCTTTGCCATTTTTGCAATCGTCACAACTCTTTAAACAACTATGCGGTTGTTCTTCTTCTTCTTCTAAGGTTTAACGGGCGTCTGCAAACCAGTTTAGGTGCCTCTCCGCCACCGTCTGGATACTGCGTGGAGCGCCGACAGGAGAGGGGGAGGAATAATAATAATAACACGTAAATCCTGGTAATCCTGTCTTGGACCAGTTTTAAGTAGATTTTGCATTGTGATGTTAAGCACACATAGTAAGTCTTTAAGTTCAAGTCTTTCCATTCATGTGCATTACTTCCTCTGTTTGGCTGAAATGCATGCATTGTCCCAGTTCATGTTTGCTGAGATGATTAATTATATCTTCTTTTTCTTTATTATGGACTATCCTCTCTGTATTAAAGGAATAGTTCACCCAAAAATGAAAATTTGCTGAGATTTTATACTACACATCCGTAGATGAATTTGTTTCATCAGATTTGTAGAAATGTAGCTTTCCATCACTTGCTCCTCTGCAGTGAATGGGTGCCGTCAGAATGAGAGTCCAAACAGCTGATAAAAACATCACAATAATCCACACAAATCCACTTCATCAATGAATGTCTTGTGAAGCCAAAAGCTGTGTGTTTGTAGAAACAAATCCATCCTTAAGATGTTTTTAACTTCAAACCATTGCTTTTGGCTAAAATAAAAGACCTTTATCTATAATTTCGCTTTCTCCAGTTGTCTGGTCTGAATCAGGAGAGAAAGGCACAGATCAAGCACTGTTTACAAGCCAAAACAACTCTAAACAAATTATGTGGGTGCATTTAAAGTAAAAAAAAGACAACAACATCTTGATGGATTTGTTTCTTACAAACACGCAGCTTTTCACTTCATAAGAGGTTAATTGATGGACTGGAGTGCTGTGGATTACATTGTCGCAATCATACTTTAGATTTAAAGGGGTCATGTGATGTTGCTAAAAATAACATTATGTTGTGTATTTGGTGTAATGAAATGTGTTTATGTAGTTTAAGGTAAAAAAAAACATTATTTTTCACATACTGTACATTATTGTTTCTCCTCTATGCCCCGCATTTTTGAAACGCGTAAATTTTTAAAAAGCTCATCGTTCTGAAAAGCGAGGTGTGCTGTGATTGGCCAGCTATCCAGTGCGTTGTGATTGGCCGAATACCTCAAGCGTGTGACAGAAATGTTACGCCCCTCACCATACTGTGATGCCCTGTCAGGCCGGAGCGAGGATTCACAAACATGAAAACCCATTATAAACGAGGCATTTGTTGCATCCAGTGGGGGCATAATTACGGATTATAATGACTTATACTTATACTGTCTTTAAACATAAAACCATGTCTGCATTTGTGATCGGAGAAATGACAAACAACAAGTGCTACAAAAAACTGCTAGATCTAATTTGCCTCTTTTAGAATAAAACAAACACAACCCCAGGCATTTAATAGGCGTTAAATAGCATTAGCAATAAAGTGGCTAAATTAATAAACTCAAGATGGCGCCGTTTATGGTTGCCATGGTGTGGAGCTCTCCCGTTCTTTAGCTGTTTTTGTTTGTTTGTTCTGTTCTTTAGTCATTCTTTTACTATCAGTTTTACCAGAGACAAACTACTGGACATAAGGCAACACACACCAGACAAAATTGTTCCAGTTTTGATTATTTAGACGGTTTGTTGGATGTTCTAGTCAGCGTGCTGGTTAAGCTCCGCAAACGCGGCTTCCGAACAGCGCTTCCTAGTATCCATCTACCAAATCTCAGATTTAAAAAAAGCAAATCTTTCCTGTGAACTGCCAAAATACAGACAGCATGCCCTACCAGAGACAGTAATACAGGTGCATCTCAATAAATTTGAATGTCGTGAAAAAGTTCATTTATTTCAGTAATTCAACTCAAATTGTGAAACTCGTGTATTAAATAAATTCAATGCACACAGATTGAAGTAGTTTAAGTCTTTGGTTCTTTTAACTGTGATGATTTTGGCTCACATTTAACAAAAACCCACCAATTCACTATCTCAACAAATTTGAATATGGTGACATGCCAATCAGCTAATCAACTCAAAACACCTGAAAAGGTTTCCTGAGCCTTCAAAATGGTCTCTCAGTTTGGTTCACTAGGCTACACAATCATGGGGAAGACTGCTGATCTGACAGTTGTCCAGAAGACAATCATTGACACCCTTCACAAGGAGGGTAAGCCACAAACATTCATTGCCAAAGAAGCTGACTGTTCACAGAGTGCTGTATCCAAGCATGTTAACAGACTGAATTACTTAAATAAATGAACTTTTCCACGACATTCTAATTTATTGAGATGCACCTGTATACTGGATCACTGCCACACCACAATAAAGGATGCATATCACTCTGTCCCACGGGCAGCTTTGAGGCTCTCGGATCACTGTCTAGTTCATCTTATACCTACCTACAGGCAGAAACTGAAATCAGCTACACCTGTAATTAGGACTGTAAAAAGATGGATTAATGAAGCAGAGCGGGATTTACAAGTCTGCATTCATACTGCATTGATTGGAGTGTTTTTGAAGCTGGATGAGCTCACAGATACTGTAACATCATACATCAGCTTCTGTGAGGATATGTGCATCCCCACGAGGTCATTCTTATTATTCAATAATGATAAACTGTGGTTTACTGGGAAACTCAAAAAGCTTCATCATGCCAAAGAGGATTCATACTAACAAAGGAGATCAGATTGGCTAAAAAAACTACTCTGAAAAGCTGAAAAAACTGTTTTCAGCCAACGACCCAGTGCTAGTCTGGACAGGTCTGAGGAGCATCACCAAGTACAAGACACCACCCCCACAGTCTGTGGAGAATCAACAACTGGCTGACAATCTGAATGTGTTTTACTGCTGGTTTGAAAAGCCCAGTCTCACACCCCACACCCGCTCTGATCTGCACTTCACATATACACCTACCCCCCTGCAACCCCCCTTCCTGCCTCTCCCACCATTCAACCTGCTCTTAAGGTCTGTGTAGAGGATGTGAACCAGGTCTTCAGGAAACAGAAGACTAAGAAAGCTTCAGGCCCAGACGGTGTTTCACCTGCCTGTCTAAAAGTCTGGGCTGACCAACTGTCCCCCATCTTCACACAGATCTTCAACAGATCACTGGAACTGTATGAAGTTCCCTGCTGCTTCAAACGGTCCACCATCATTCATCATTCACGGTCCCCAAAAAGCCCAAAATCACTGGACTTAATGATTACAGACCTGTTGCTTTCACGTCTGTGGTCATGGCCTAACTGAAGGACATCACTGGACCCTTGCTGGATCCTCTTCAGTTTGCCTACAGAGCAGACAGGTCTGTTGACGATGCAGTCAACATGGGACTGCATTACATCCTGCAACACCTCGACAGACCTGGGAATTATGCAAGGATCTTATTTGTGGACTTCATTTCGGCCTTCAGTACCATCATGACTAATCTTCTCTCAACCAAACTGACCAAGCTCTCCGTACCCACCTCCATCTGTCAGTGGATCACCAGCTTCCTGACAGACAGGCAGCAGCCAGTGAGACTGGGGAAACTCACATCACAAGACTCTCACTATCAGCACTGGTGCCCCCCAGGGTTGCGTTCTCTCCCCACTGCTCTTCTCCTTGTATACAGATGACTGCACCTCTAAAAACCCTGAATCTGAAGTGGGACATTCACATCGACTATTGTAAAAAAGGCCCAGCAGAGGCTGTATTTCCTTCTCCAGATGAGGAAATTCAACCTGCCACAGGAGCTGCTGAAGCCGTCATTGAGTCTGTCCTGTGTTCATCTATAACTGTTTGGTTTGGTTCAGCTACCAAATCAGACATCATGAGACTACAGTGGACAGTCTCGTCACTCCGGCCGGACAGGGCATCACAGTATGGTAGGGGCATAACTACAATGGACAGTCAGGACTGATGAAAGGATTATTGGTGCCCCCCTGCCTAACCTAATCTAACCTGCAAATACCAGCGTAAACAAGACCATGAGGATTCAATTGTCGCATCATACACCTGCAGCGCTTCTGTGAAAGGAGAAAAACAGAAATTAAGTCTATAAAAGGAATAAAATAAATATAATAGGCTATAATATAATTAACATTAACAAAAGGGAAAAACCCCCACTGTGCAACAAATAGGCTACGCTCATTTTTGTGACACTCTTAATGCACTTTATTTTCTTTTTATCTGATTTGATTTTTTATCTATTTGATTAAATCCATCTGATCGCATAGGCGCCTCACACACACAAACAAAGATTAGTTCTACCGTTGCCTGACATTTCAGCCATTCATCATCAAACTAAAATGCAGTCAACCAAACATAAAAGTTACACAGTTTATTTTAAAAGGTCCGCTGTAAAAATCAGCGTGCAGCGCCCAAACAAAAAATGTTGCACATGTGAAGGATTTTACACGGATATTAGAACATGAGTGAAGTATAAAAGCCATGTTTAGGCTACGTAATGAATAATAGTTCCCTTTCAGTCGGTCTCTCTCGACGTCACGTTGGTGACCGACGAATTGGGACCTTGCTTAGAGAGACCAATCCACGTCGAGTGTAAACTAAATGAGCCAATTCACATTGGCATGCAATGATTGCATCGACGGGGGTGCAGCTAAGTGGTATATAGTGATCCCCCCGGTGGAGCGGTCGGTAGTGATGCAGTTGTGTCCTAAGACCACCTCCTACTGGCCGGGAAACCCATCGCTCCCCTCCTCCTTCGGGAAGGATGGGGCTTCCGCAACGTTCCTGTTCCAAGTGGAACGGGCACGTTTTCCCGTTCCAAGTGGAACGGGCACGTTTTCCCAGTGTTATCAAATCTCACTGAGTGGGTAGTGCTATGACAACAGTGACTGGTCTTCTTGTTGTGAGCCCCGGCCTACTCCAAAAAGGGGCGCAGGAGGCTTGCACAGGACACTGGAAGGGGCAGCATCCATGGCGCTTTGGTAGGGATCCCAATTCATCGGTCACCGACGTGACGTCGAGAGCGACCGACTGAAAGGGAACGTCTCTGTTACGTATGTAACCCTCATTCCCTGAAGGAGGGAACGGAGACGTCACATCCCGTCGCCACGGCTGCTGTACCACCGCGGAGCGGCCGGGTTACCGGCTCGGCTCCTCAGCAAAAACCTGGTATGCATTGCACTGGCTGCCTTTTTATGCTCACGCTGTGATCAGTGGCAGCTGGATGCAATCATCGCATGCCAATGTGCATTGGCTCATTTAGTTTACACTCGAAGTGGTATGGTCTCTCTAAGCGAGGTCCCAATTCGTCGGACATGATGTCTCCGTTCCCTCTTTCAGGGAATGAGGGTTACATATGTAACCCAGACGTTATGCAAACAAATGTTACAAATATGGCAAAAATGGAAACATTTGGATTCTTGTGGTATGAGACAGGCTCATGAGCCCAATGCCTTTTCAGTTTTGCTTGACATTTGTATGCTGTTTATAATGAACACCACTATAGCCTAATTTGTTTAATATTTAATTTTTACTACTTATTTTTCATTCTTAAATTTTAAATATATGTTGTAGAGTGAGGGGAACTAAATAGGCTGTTAATATTTACCAGTATTTTAATATACATATAAAAAAAATAATAATGTAGCCTAATTGTTTGCAATTACAAGGTTAGCGGTGTTTTTGGAGTAAGATTGGACAGCTGGCCCCGCCTTCACATGACAGAGAGACATCAATCATAATGTTACTGCCACCAAATAATACATCAAACCTGACCATGCTTCCTAAAAGTACACTTACTGGAATGGGTTTGACCAGAGTCGAGGACTGTGTAAAGGCATTCGCCTCTTTACTCTGTCAAAGAGAAGAAGGGATCTTATACAAAAACAAGATTCATTTGAAATGTTATATGTTTTCTGTGTTTTTCATTAAAGTATGTCAAAATGAATAAAACGCATAGTAGTCTGATTCACAAACGAATCGTTCCAATTAATTGGTTTGAATTACTTTCAAACGAGTCAGAGCCGTTAATCAATCAAAGCAGGTCTGCAATCACAAAATGGTTTAGACTTGTTTCCAACTGTATGATTTTACCAGTAAATTAAGATTGGGACTACATTATTTTTCTGGATAAGCATGCACTGCCATTAAATGTATTAAAAAAAATCAATCAAATAATATTTTTACATCTATGTAATCAGTGACAGAGCACATGTGTGCGTGTATCATGCAAATGTAGCATTCTTACGAACAGTACTTTTTGTTTACTGTTTATCATGCCTTAGAAGTAATAATATTAATAAACCCCTAGCCATCAGTATTTTGGCTGTTGTATCCTGAGAGTACAGATTTGTGAGATCAGTACTGTGTATTGTACAGAACCCCTATAATGAGTGTATTGTTACACTCTTACTATTTACAGATATTCATCTTTTTTTTTTGGGCTTTTCTTTTAAAAGAGTTTTGACATTGTTAGTGACATTCACACTGATCGCCCATAACCACGGGTACATCAGTACGAATCAGAACATATTCTGAGGTGCATAAAGAGTCCCACTCCTGTACTGCAGGAAACAGTGTGTCATTTTATCAATCATTTCTGCACTTGCATTAAAATACAATAAAATAAAAAAAAATACCACATACCATGAAAATACTGTTTGGTGTATTCACCTGTGCCGACAATGCAGCCTTTCCCGTGAAGGGCCCTGAAACTTTACAGGCGGATTCTCTGAAGCTCTGTGGGGTGACCAGTGGGCCGGGCATGAACCCTGGCAGTGACACAGGCATCCCATGACCCTCTGTGGGGGGATTCGTATATGCAGGAGGAAGTGGACCAGCCGAACCACAACTGCTCCCGCTGTCCTCCATATTTGAAGCAGACGGTCTTGGGTCTCGGGTGCCACAACCCTGAAAGAGAGAGACCAGCACCGGGCCTCCTGGGTCAGCAGAGAGACGAGGAGCGAGGAGAGGCTCCACCGAGTGAACAAACGCAGGCCCACGCATGCTTTCTCCCACAGTGGAGCTTGTTGACTGGGGCGCTTCTTTGGGCAGAGAGCTGCCAAAAAGCTCTTCCACTGTGATCTGCTTCACTACTGAGTGACCGGACTGTGGAGAGGAAACAACAACAGATTCATGTCACTTACCATTTCTTCATGGGTCGATCACACACAGTGACGTCACAAAACATGTGTGTTGCAAATCAAGCTCACATTCTGACAGTAGCAAAGCTACAAAATTAATATTTTCAAAGATTAAGCATTATATTTGTAACACTACATTATAAGTGTAACACATACAGTCTGTTTTCTTTCACGCGGTCTTTTGCACTGATTGCTGTGAGCAAACCATGCAAGTTGACATTCTTTTTAATTAAGCTTATGTGAAAGTGCAATAAAATATACTGGATTTTGGATGCTTCATCGGACATAATACAGCAATTACACACCAGGCACAGTGTAACAATACTTCATGAATTACATCCTAACTAACCAGTCCATTACAACAGTTTGTTCACTGTGCTTCTGTTCTTATTTTACTGAACAAAATCCTGTCTGCCACAGAGCACCACTCGCATCGCTCTCCACAATATATTTGTCCTGAATCAACGTTACTCAACTCACCCTAGGCTGCTTTTGACAATACACACTGGTTTAAACCATATCATATTTTAATATTAATGCATCTAGGTATTTCGTCCTTTGTAAATGAACACAAAATCAGCCACTGACTTATAAGTTTAGCAGGGACCTGTTTTGGTAATATCCTTAACAGAGGGTATCCTTAACCTGATAACTTCGGGTTTTCTTAACTTAAGGGCTTTGTTGCAACTGGGCGGAGATGATTAGTATTGACTATAATAGAAGAGCAAAAAATGTTTGTACAAATCTAGTAGAAGTGCTCTTGGATGTGTGTGATTAGCAGCACCTTCTCGTGTTGAGCGGCTGGGATGTCCTCTCTCTTCTCGTGTGACGGTGCAGAGCTCACCCGAACATCTCTCTCCACTGACTGACTCTAGAAACACACACAAAATACATAATAATAGATCTTAACAGTGTGGATAACCAGGTCTAGGTGCTTTCAATTTGAGCAGCAATTTTGCTGTGAAAGTGAACAGCAAAAAAACAGCAGGGAAATGAGCCGTGAGGGTGGTCATACCCTTTGATACTCCTCTTTAGCCTTGCTGAGCAGCTCCAGGATATCTGTGGGTCTGCTCTGAACACAACCATTGGTCCTGCCGCTCAGGCCTCTGTCGGGAGACGCTCGCAACGCCTCCTGTTTGACTATCCTACACACACAGAAAAACAGCTGGGGACTACAGAGATTTAACAGCAATTCAGGCTACTCTAGTTAAATTCATTATTTACTCAAAATCAACCGTTCCATTCACACAGTGACATATTAATGAGCAGACACTAGGGCGATTTCACCACCCATTCGCATATGACTGTCAACCAGCCTGCCACGGCAACACATCACCATGACAACTGCTCAAGCCCATGCTAGTTACCAGGCAACCAACATTTTACTGAAGCAAGCTGGGTGTTAAATCACGGATACTCACTGTAGCATGAGCCGTGCAATCCGCTGGCAGTCGGCCTTATCGTAGAACCAGATACTGTAGATGCCCACTGAGAGACACACGCAATCAAATAAAGCACAGAAGATAACACACAGGTACAGAGGGGCTGTGCTGTGAACATGTGTACACTTACAGCGAAGAGCTCAACAAACAGCGAGTTACAGAGACTTACAGTAAAATATCAGTCGAATAAACAAGCTAAAATGTGTGACCACACTGGAAAACATTAACTGTTTTACTAAGCCAACACAAATAGTTTCAAAGCAGCTTTCCTGAAAATCATAATGTTAATGTTTATAATATCTCAATACCTTTTGCCTTATAATCGCATAGCAGATTAGAGCTGGACAATAATATAGTTTACATTTTGCAACGATATACACAATCAAGCAGCTGAAATTGGCTACATAATATATATCTATCTATCGCTTGATGTGCATGTACCCTACACAGATAAAGTTGCATGCACTATATATTCATCACTTCACTTCCAACAAGACTGACAGTGACATGAAGGTGTTCGTTATAATATTCAGAAGTCTTGCTTCATTAATAGGAAGATCTGCTATTTGCTTCACTCTTAGTAAAGAAAGTTCTTCAACCCTATAAAATACTTGTTTTTCATTTTTAAAAAGAACAGTTTATTGAACCTTCGGACAAAATATAAAACACATTTAAAATATGTTTGCAATGCGTGTTCTTTGTTTAGCATCACGTTTGATACACCAGGCTTTTATGACTCAAATAGTACGTAATAGTACTTTTTATTCAGAGGCCCAAACGGAGCATAAATATGCAATTTGATGCAGATGCTTAGTTAGTTACATGCTTGGTTTTATGATCAAAACGCTATAGTTAATAAATGCTCCTCAAAAGCCTGACGGAGGATTTGATCCTCACATCTTAACATGATTTGTCTAATAAATGCATAAATCTAAGTTGCTTCAGTCCAGTAAGTGTTCATCTTGAAATGCAACGGATGTAAAAGCTATTCTTATATTTACGTGATTAAAATCAGTAAAAATGTGACGGCATAAAGAAGCACAAGCTGAAGGTGGACGTTTTTACAATTATACTAAAAGGCCTTTTACATGCTAAAGATGATCAAGCAGAACAGGTCTTTCAGCAAAGTTTTGATCCTCTGGAGGCCTTAGAAATATGCGTATGGAATATGATACAGCACACTTTACAAGGGAGACGCTGCAGAGTCAATGATGACACATGATGCACGAGTCAAACAGGGCTCTTCTCACTGCAACGGATGGACAACAGATGAACACTTACAGTTGCCGTTCCTGTACAGTAGGAAAGGGTCCTGGAGCTGGAACTCCAGGTCTTTATTGATCGGCTCCACTAAGTTTTCTGCACTCAAACGGTTCATAATTGTGAAGCCATGATGGGGAGAAGCCGACCTGCAGAAACCAGCCATCCTCACATTACAGCACACCACTACATGACAGAGCAGCGTGTTATTAATGAATTATTAGTATTATTATTATAGCGAGTGTCGCTCACCTGGCATACACAAACAATGTGCCTTCAATCTCAGTCTTTTCCTAAAGTCAGAGAGATGTGTTAGTTTTCAAACAGCTTTCATATTCAATACTAATACACTGACTTCCCAAAAGAAGTACAATCGTTGACTGAAGCGTGGCTTTGAGTTTGTCGTGACTGTACTGTCAGATAAAAGCTGATATCTTTTTCATTGGCAGAAGACTGACAGAAAGTCATACTGATTGTACTTTCAGATTAGTTTATCATCAGATGGCGAGCTCGCCTGGAGTCATGCATCAGCTCCTAGGCGTGTTTATCTCGACTGCTAATATAAGACACTGGTGCTCCAGTAAGCTTACCCCCTGCACGCTCCTGGTGAACTGATATAACGGGTAATAAACAGACAAACACCAGAAAGGACAAAAAGAGCGTAGCAGCTGCAGGCTAACTGACGTGCGCGCGCTGACATGGCGACGCGTTTTGAAGTCTCACCCATTCGTTAGCTTTGGAGCTGAAAGTATAGAGCGCGACCTGTCCGGCGACGTCCAGCAGGTTCACGATGTAGGGGTCATGCTGCTGCAGAGCCGCCAGACTCATGAGCTGTCCCGTTCTATTCACACACTCCATCTTTACCATACACTCTGATCTTTACACTGCGCCTGCACGGAACACTTTTCAGGACGAACACTTCCGGTTGCCGTTTCCTTATGTCCGTGCTTCGGCCAGGTTTCGCTCATGGTTCCGTTGAGCAACCGTTCTCACTCAGGCCCAGTATGTGTACATAGAGCCAGTCTAATGATAATATCGCTCAAATAAATGTACATTTATATACTTTGTGTAATGTATGCCTGTAAATTTGACCGTCTTTCTGATTATTATTATTTGCCCTTTTGAAAATTCGCGGAAAGCCTTTGGAGGGTTTTGTTGTCGTGTACTGATTTGGGTTAAACCGATATTTAAAGCAGTTTTAAAAGTGTAATCCAGGATCTTTTTTGTTTAAAGTAAATAATTGTGCTCTAGAAAGTATTTTATGTAATTCCAAAAAGTATAGTGCTTGAAATTGTCGCCTGAGTGTGTGTGTGTGTGTGTGTGTGTGTGTGTGTGTGAGAGTGTGGTTATTAGAGAGTGTGTGTGTGTGAGAGTGTGGTTATTAGAGAGTGTGTGTGTGTGAGAGTGTGGTTATTAGAGAGTGTGTGTGTGTGAGAGTGTGGTTATTAGAGAGTGTGTGTGTGTGAGAGTGTGGTTATTAGAGAGTGTGTGTGTGTGAGAGTGTGGTTATTAGAGAGTGTGTGTGTGTGAGAGTGTGGTTATTAGAGAGTGTGTGTGTGTGAGAGTGTGGTTATTAGAGAGTGTGTGTGTGTGAGAGTGTGGTTATTAGAGAGTGTGTGTGTGTGAGAGTGTGGTTATTAGAGAGTGTGTGTGTGTGAGAGTGTGGTTATTAGAGAGTGTGTGTGTGTGAGAGTGTGGTTATTAGAGAGTGTGTGTGTGTGAGAGTGTGGTTATTAGAGAGTGTGTGTGTGTGAGAGTGTGGTTATTAGAGAGTGTGTGTGTGTGAGAGTGTGGTTATTAGAGAGTGTGTGTGTGTGAGAGTGTGGTTATTAGAGAGTGTGTGTGTGTGAGAGTGTGGTTATTAGAGAGTGTGTGTGTGTGAGAGTGTGGTTATTAGAGAGTGTGTGTGTGTGAGAGTGTGGTTATTAGAGAGTGTGTGTGTGTGAGAGTGTGGTTATTAGAGAGTGTGTGTGTGTGAGAGTGTGGTTATTAGAGAGTGTGTGTGTGTGAGAGTGTGGTTATTAGAGAGTGTGTGTGTGTGAGAGTGTGGTTATTAGAGAGTGTGTGTGTGTGAGAGTGTGGTTATTAGAGAGTGTGTGTGTGTGAGAGTGTGGTTATTAGAGAGTGTGTGTGTGTGAGAGTGTGGTTATTAGAGAGTGTGTGTGTGTGAGAGTGTGGTTATTAGAGAGTGTGTGTGTGTGAGAGTGTGGTTATTAGAGAGTGTGTGTGTGTGAGAGTGTGGTTATTAGAGAGTGTGTGTGTGTGAGAGTGTGGTTATTAGAGAGTGTGTGTGTGTGAGAGTGTGGTTATTAGAGAGTGTGTGTGTGTGAGAGTGTGGTTATTAGAGAGTGTGTGTGTGTGAGAGTGTGGTTATTAGAGAGTGTGTGTGTGTGAGAGTGTGGTTATTAGAGAGTGTGTGTGTGTGAGAGTGTGGTTATTAGAGAGTGTGTGTGTGTGAGAGTGTGGTTATTAGAGAGTGTGTGTGTGTGAGAGTGTGGTTATTAGAGAGTGTGTGTGTGTGAGAGTGTGGTTATTAGAGAGTGTGTGTGTGTGAGAGTGTGGTTATTAGAGAGTGTGTGTGTGTGAGAGTGTGGTTATTAGAGAGTGTGTGTGTGTGAGAGTGTGGTTATTAGAGAGTGTGTGTGTGTGAGAGTGTGGTTATTAGAGAGTGTGTGTGTGTGAGAGTGTGGTTATTAGAGAGTGTGTGTGTGTGAGAGTGTGGTTATTAGAGAGTGTGTGTGTGTGAGAGTGTGGTTATTAGAGAGTGTGTGTGTGTGAGAGTGTGGTTATTAGAGAGTGTGTGTGTGTGAGAGTGTGGTTATTAGAGAGTGTGTGTGTGTGAGAGTGTGGTTATTAGAGAGTGTGTGTGTGTGAGAGTGTGGTTATTAGAGAGTGTGTGTGTGTGAGAGTGTGGTTATTAGAGAGTGTGTGTGTGTGAGAGTGTGGTTATTAGAGAGTGTGTGTGTGTGAGAGTGTGGTTATTAGAGAGTGTGTGTGTGTGAGAGTGTGGTTATTAGAGAGTGTGTGTGTGTGAGAGTGTGGTTATTAGAGAGTGTGTGTGTGTGAGAGTGTGGTTATTAGAGAGTGTGTGTGTGTGAGAGTGTGGTTATTAGAGAGTGTGTGTGTGTGAGAGTGTGGTTATTAGAGAGTGTGTGTGTGTGAGAGTGTGGTTATTAGAGAGTGTGTGTGTGTGAGAGTGTGGTTATTAGAGAGTGTGTGTGTGTGAGAGTGTGGTTATTAGAGAGTGTGTGTGTGTGAGAGTGTGGTTATTAGAGAGTGTGTGTGTGTGAGAGTGTGGTTATTAGAGAGTGTGTGTGTGTGTGTGAGTGTGGTTATTAGACAGAGAGAGAGAGTGTGTGTGTGTGTGTGTGGTTATTAGAGAGTGTGTGTGTGTGTGTGTGAGTGTTACGAAGGGAAATAAAACTAAGATTAAATAATTTTGCATTACATATGGAAATAAAATATAGGGGATGTACTTCTTAATTTACGTTTGTCTATTTGCATTTGACATCGTTTATGGTAAAAAAAAAAAATCACAATCGGATAGATGACTTTTAATGAACTATAATATACTTCTTAATTTACGTTTGTCTATTTGCATTTGACATCGTTTATGGTAAAAAAAAAAATCACAATCGGATAGATGACTTTTAATGAACTATAAGAGTGAGTTTTATAGGCGTCCGCTAGAGTAGCTCAGTAGCACAGAAGGCTTGAGTCAGGATTATTATGGGGATTATCTGCTATAGACAGGCGATCCAACCCCACACTCCCTTACCTTCCCCGGTGCTTTCACCCTATAGCAGTAACGAGCAGAAAACAGCATGCACTCAGCGAATGAGCTGCTTTACTGAGAGACATGAATGGCGTTCATGCTGGGAATACGAGGTAAGTTTATATTCAGTTTACTTTTATCTGAAAATTAAAACAGCCTCACCTTGACTTTATGAAGCCAAAGGTGAACTAAGTATAGATCAGCAACATTACTCAGTGTAAAAAGCCTGGGATAGGCTAGGTGACCTGTTGAAAAGCCTGTTAGATGTCCTGCAAAGGTAATTGAATATTCCCCGAACACGGCCTTAATTTAAACCAGACGCACAACTGCAGCGAGTGCGCGGGGGTGGGGATAAAAGAAAAACGGTGCTCGGGTTTCTCTAATGTGGTCCGCTGTGTCGATTAGAATAACATTCCTGATAGACTGTCAGGGATCTTTGATGATGGCAGTGAGGCATCATTAGACGTGATCGCTTGTAATGGCGCTCGGTGGATGTAATCTTCATCGCGGAGTGAAACGCGTCCTCGACACCCGGATGTTGCGAAGATGCGCTCGCGGAGCTCAAGGCATCAGCATCAGCATCAGCACCAGCATCAGCATCATCCACACTAGTCAAAACATGAGAGATGAGATGGTTTAATGCAGCCACGCGAACTGGAATATAACAAATAATAAAAACAGATTTTCAATGTGGAGGAGGGGATGGACGAGCCAGAGGAACCGACTGAAGGTAAACACAAACCTAGATGTGACTTATGGACGAGTTTCTTTTCGTTTAATATTAAAAGGGCTTAACTGAAAGGAACTGGTGACACTGTATTTAAAAGTGAAGTGTGCATGTCCGTGTTAAAGTTGTGTAGAATGCTTCAGTGCACATTGTACTAGTCTTTATAAGTGAGTGTCATAGTGAAAGATTCGAGTAGATGTCATATATACATATGTCTGTGTGTGTGTGTGTGTGTATAAATATTTGAAAAATCATCAGATAGCCTACCAAATGCACTAACAACTAATGTTAAAGATTCGAACCTTGTGAAGTATTACCCCATGGCACAGTGTCCATCTGACACATTGTTTGATTGAAGAGTATTACAAGCTGCTTTACACAAAAAGTATTTGGAGTGTAATTTATTGTAAAGAAAGACTCTTTACAAGCCTACCATTTGTCAAAGAAAGAACTTTCTTTGTTTTGAAATGTTAAAGGGGAATTTGGATGTCCATTTTCTACAAGTTGGTATGATTCCTTAGGGTCTTCATGAAATGTCTGTAACATACTTTGGTTAAAATTCCTCGTGGTCTTGTAAAACAACACAATTTTTACTTTGTCAAAACAGCTCTGTTCACATGCAGCGAAGACAGTCGGTATTGTATGACTTTGTGTTTTGTTTGTGGTTAGAGGTACTGTTCATATAGTTACGGTGATGAGCTACACAGGACACCTGTGTGAACACAACAGATCTCTCAATTCTTGCTCATGAGTCCAGTGTGAAGACAACCAAGCGAACAGAAAGCAGAAATGTCATTTTGTTTTATGCTGTAAATGTTTGTTGACACACTTGTTTGGATCATCTTCAGTCCTCGGGTTATAGTTAAAGAATTCTGCGTTTACAGCTTTTCTTTAGATTGACATTAAAGAAGCCTGTTTAAAGAGGTCTGTTTGTTCATGTTAATGTGGATGGTGTACTAAAAAAATATTTTAGTACTGTGGATTGTAAAATAATGAAATGTTAATCACATTGATGTTGATATTTACGGTACGATGTTTCACTTCCTCTTCCTGTAATACTACTAGTTGTGCTTATATGCCATTCAGTGTGCAAGAATAGAATTCAATAATTATGAAAACATTCAGTATATCAGTATATTACAATTTCGGTTTGGAGGGCAGATTTCACACACACACACACACACACACACACACACACACACACACACACACACACACACACACACACACACACACACACACACAAAAATATTCTAATGCAGGACAGAAGTAAACTAGGCGTTTAAAACCAATCATCAGATGACAGCCATGGATAAACCCAGGAATATTTTCTTCTTTTGTAAAAACTCAGTTTTAGAGTAAAATAACTGTTTTCAATTTGCCAAAAACCTGAAAGTGATGTTTCTTCAGCGTGTTTTGATTGTGCACTCAGCTTTGAACTCCTCCAGCCATTCATGCAA